AAATGCTTCACAATCTGCGGTGCAGTTAACTCTAATGAACTTATCCTCTGCAGCAGAGGTAACTCTGGGTCTTCCTTTCCTATGGCGGTCCTCATGAGAGCCAGTTTCATCATAGTGCTTGATGGTTTTTGAAGCTGCACTTGAAGAAACATTCAAAGTTCTTGAAATGTTCCGTATTGACTGACCTTCATGTCTTAAAATTTATTTTTGCTTATTTTAGCTGTTCTTGCCATAATCTGGACTTGGTATTTTACCAAATAGGGATATATTCTGTATACCCCCCTACCTTGTCACAACACACCTGATTGGCTCAAACACATTAAGAAGGAAAGAAGGCACACCTGTTAATTGAAATACATTCCAGGTGACTACCTCATGAAGCTGGTTGAGAGAACGCCAAGAGTGTGCAAAGTGTCATCAAGGCAAAGAGTGGCTATTTGAAGAATCTAAAATATAAAATCTATTTTGATTTGTTTAACACTTTTTTGGTTAATACATGATTCCATATGTGCTGTTTCACAGTTTTGATGTCTTCACTATTATTCTACAATGTAGAAAATAGTAAAAATAAAGAAAAAACCTGTAATGAGTAGGTGTGTCCAAACCTTTGACTGGTACTGTAAGTACAGTAATTTGTTAAATAAAAGGCATGTGTGAAAATGAATCCATTGTTCAAATACTATAAAAGTATTCAGCCCGTCTGGTGTTCAACCTTTCCAAGTTATCTCACGTCACCCCGCTCCTCCGCACACTCCACTGGCTTCCAGTTGAAGCTCGCATCTGCTACAAGACCATGGTGCTTGCCTACGGAGCTGTGAGGGGAACGGCACCTCCGTACCTTCAGGCTCTGATCAATCCCTACACCCAAACGAGGGCATTGCGTTCATCCACCTCTGGCCTGCTGGCCCCCGTACCTCTGCGGAAGCACAGTTCCCGCTCAGCCCAGTCAAAACTGTTCGCTGCTCTGGCACCCCAATGGTGGAACAAGCTCCCTCATGACGCCAGGACAGCGGAGTCACTCACCACCTTCCGGAGACACTTGAAACCCCACCTCTTTAAGGAATACCTGGGATAGGATAAAGTAATCCTTCTACCCCCCCTTACCCCACCCCCCCCCCCCCAAAAAAAAAGGTGGCTATCATAAGGTGAATGCACCAATTTGTAAGTCGCTCTGGATAAGAGCGTCTGCTAAATGATGAAAATGTAATGTAAATGTAAAAGACTGAGATAATGGGAAATCGAATAAGAGATGGCTGATCTTGCTCAGTTGGAAGATTTGGCACACGCTGCATTTGGCAGAGAGCATATTTTTAGAGACAGGTGGGGCTTTCTTTTTCAGAAAGAACAGATTGGCTCATCATATATCGTTTTCCAAAACCAATTACATAGGATTTTTGCAAGGATTTGAGACCTACTTTAAAAAGGAAACGCATGCCATTCCGGTGCACATCCAAGTGCTATCCACCCTGGGGTTTTTGGCAACGGGCACTTTTCAACGGGAGCTTGCCGATCGGCATATCACAGCCCTTGATGAGCCAATGTTTTGGATGCAACCATCAGCAAAACAAACAGTAACATACAATTTCAATACACCATCGCACAACAGGTTGAAGTCAAGAGGGGTTTATTTGCCATGATGCTATCAATGGTTTCCCAAATACGAATAGAGAAATAGACGGCACCCACAACGACATAAAATAACCATCCCAAAATTATTTCAACTATGTGAACAGAAAAGTATTCCACTCTTAATGTGCAGGTGACAGGTTATGTGATGATAAAAATACTGCTGAATCAAGTGGCCAGGTAGAACGCACGACTCGTTCATTCAGCAGAACAGCAATGTTGGCCTATACGCTTACAGGAGGGAGCTTATTGGTCGATGTTGTCTACTCATTTGAAGTAACTTGAATTGTCCTAATAGTCCTCTCTTTGTAGCTATGTTTCTCTTTTTACTAGTCAAGCCACAACTGAGCACGCCAAATAAAATAAAACCTCTATTTCAGTCTCATAAAACGTGTTTTTAATGAGTTGTGCCATTGTATATTCCCCACAGGTTAAAGGGATGATTTTGACCATATATAATCAGGGGCGTTTTGAAATGCAAATAGCCAAGGCTGAGAACAATTGGTATTTATCAATGGTTATCTCCTACCGGTGTGTGTATGACTCTCATAGGATTGTTTGATAAATCACACTTTTTCTATGAGTACAGACATTCTAAATTCTGTTTGCAAGTAGTATTCTAGAATAGTTTCTACACAATATTGATAAATGAGGCCCCCGGGAATTCCACCAATGGGTGGGGAGCGTTTGTAAAGCCTAAAGGGAGAGGAGTGAACAGCTATAGAAAACACACATATGGCTGCCAAAGCTACAAAAGAGCAAAATGAAATCATCAGAAAATAACTAGGTAAGATACTGAAGTGAGAGTCTTCCTCTCTTTCCTTCCTGAAACAACTCGGCAGAACCGTCTTTGTTTCAGCGACGGCCTTAGTTTTGCGACGAGACTGCCGTTGACAGCTGAGAAAACAGGGGAGACTGAAGTACTAACACCAATTGCCAATTGCCTTGCAGAGGTGAAGAGCACACCTCCCGGTAGAAATTGCTGATTGTCTAGGAGAGGAGAAACCACTCCCCATTCAATACAGCCACTGATTACCAAAACAAGTCACATTTTGCCCTGCCCCTTGATCCTGGTTGATGTGTCAACAATCATCTGCAAATTATGAGCAGTCAGCAGTTCACACACCAAGTAGGCCACTGGGAAGACAGGCAGCACTTAAAGTAGATAGCCCTAGCTAGCAACAAGACAGTACTAGACAACCACAGATTAAAACAAAAATAATACTTATCACTCCTGGAGATATCAGGAATGATGATGACGATCATGACATCGACAATGATGATGATAATGATGAGGATGATGAAGATCAGAATGTACTTTACTTATTCACAAATATCACCAGCAAGCTAGAAAACAGGGTTGATGCTGAGAATAGAGTCTAAACCTGTTTGTGTTTACGAGGGTTCATGTTTGTGTGGGTATTCTTTGATTGTGTGTGTGTGTGTGTGTATGCGTGTGAGCGTCCATTCTTTTTGTGTGTGCATGTGCAAATGCATTCTTCCCTCCGTGCTTCTATCCGCGTTTCCGTGTGTGTGTGTGTGTGTGTGTGTGTGTGTGTGTGGACGTGTTTAACTATACTTGTGGGAACCAGAAGTCCCCACAAGAATAGTAAACCAAGAAACATTTGACCAACTGGGGACATTTTGTTGGTCCCCACAAGGTCAAATGCTATTTCTAGGGGGTTTAGGGTTAAGGTTAGAATGAGTGTTAGGGCTAGAATTAGGTTTAGGGTTAGGAGATAGGGTTAGTTTTAGGGTTAGGAGCTAGGATTAGGTTTAAGGTTAGGTTTTTAGGTTAGGGTTAAGGTTAGGGTAAGGGTACGGGTTAGGGTTAGGATTTTGAATGGGACTGAATTTTATGTCCCCACAAGGTTAGTTATACAAGACTGTGTGTGTTTCTGACTGTGTGTGTTTCTGACCATTCTGGAGTCCTACGGTGTCTACACAGCGGGACCTGCAAACACAAGCAGTCCTTCCTTCGTTTCGTGTCCCTAATGACCCTTAAAACGCTACAACTTTCCCCCACCAACAGATGTGTTTACGTTGTTAGGACTGATAAACGGGGCAAAACTGCAAGGCAAATTGCCGTGATTTGTCTGGGAAAAGAGAGACACATTCGCTGCATGGCTCGCCTCTAATTGTGAATCAAAAAGAAAGTTAGTAAATATGAAATGACATAGAAGGAAGGCGCAGTATGTAGACAACACAGTGTTTCCCATCTCTGCTGGGGTTCTATTGCATCATACATAGTGTATTAGATTGAATACATCTATCTAGTGCAGATTAGAGAGAGAGAGAGAGGAGAGAGAAGAGAGATAGAGACGAGAGAGAGAGAGAGAGAGAGAGAGAGAGAGAGAGAGATGAGATTATTCTCGAGATAAGAGACTCTGTCTCTCTCTATCTCCTATCTCCTCCTCTCTCTATAACTCTCTATCATCCGCTCCTCTCCTCTCTACTATCCTCCGCTCTCTCTCTATCATCTATCTCTCTCTCTCTATCCTCTCTATCTCTTCTATCTCTCTCTCGAGAGGTAGTTAACCCCCTATGGGCCCTGATCAAAAGTAGTGCACTATATAGGGGATAGGGTGCCATTTCGAGAGAGACACCTTGCTGGTTGCAGCCTAATGATATTGAAGCAAAGTGAAGGAGATATTGTATCCCAGAGATAAGGCCATGTGTCGTATTACTCGTCAGACCGTGTTTCAGCACCGGGGACGACGTGTTAATCAATTAATGTGTGAAGCCACTGTGTCATTCCATGACACGTTTTCATATTTCACTCCCCTGGCTCTGTCACACAGACGCGGGCACACACACACAGAGTCGCGAATGCACACACACACACACAGGCAAGCAGAGGAAGGATGAGAGAGCTGAAAAGAGCTGACAAAGGCTAATCTGATGTGTCGCTCTTTGAAAGGGCATCAGTGATCAGTCTGAACCAGGGAACGTGTTGGTTTGATGTATGCTGCTTAAACAAAACCTTTCACAGGGATTCAAGAGTTGACTTGTGTGTACATCATGTGTTCGCATTCGGTGATGAGTCAGGGAGTATGGTCATATCCAAACTCCATGTGGAGAAAAAAGAAACGTCCGTGGGCACGGCGTAGCGTTTGAACAGAGCAAGGAGTCTGAGTAGCCAGGCAAATTCCTAGACTCTTGAAGCCCAAGGACTTTTTATAAGCCTCTGAGACTAGTGTGAATATAAGCTACTCTTAATGCCATTGGTGCTATAACTACATAGATCCTAACTATTTTGTTTGTGTGTGGGTGTGCGTGTGTGGTGTGTGTGTCTGTGTGAGTGTTTCTCTACTCCTGCTCCTATTGTAAATGCAGGTGCACTCAGTTGTCTCTCTCTCTCTACTCTAACGCAGGTGGGCAGCATGGTGGCATTCCAATGCCAGCCGGGTCACCTGCTCCAGGGCTCCACCACCCGGCTCTGCCAGGCTGACCTTACCTGGAGCGGCTCCCAGCCAGAGTGCATCCGTGAGTCACATCACACTCCCTACTGCAGTGGCTCTGATGACGTCATGTGTATCAGAGGGTATAGCCACAGCAGTTGTTGTGACTGGGCATCGTAGAGGGACAGTAGGGGGGTGGTTCTCACACCTCTCCTGGGGACCCACAGACATTTTTCACAATTTTGTTGTAGCCCTGAACTAACTCACCTGATTCACCTGGTCAAAGGTTTGAAGATTAGTTGACAAGTTGAATCAGGAGTGCTAGCTGTGGAATAGATCAAATACATGGAACGGTCCCCAGGAGAGGTTTGAGAACCACCCTCTACTGTCCCTCTATGATGCCCAGTCACAACAACTGCTGAAGCTATACCCTCTGATGCCGATGATGTCATCACCATGGGAAAAGCCCCCATTCTATAATTGCATTTCTATGACCAGCCCATTCTAGGATTATATTTCTATGATAAACCCATTCTATGATTCTAGTTCTATGGTCAACCCATTCTAGGATTGTATTTTTCTGGTCCCTCTTTTCTAGGATTCTATTTCTATGGTCAACCCATTCTAAGATTCTATCTCTATGGTCAACCCATTCTAGGATTCTGTTTCTATGGTCAGTCCATCCCCTACTCTAGCTAGGGACCTCCATGATATCTGTCACTCCTGGCCATTCTCACAGACATCACTCTGACCGTGACATGTCACTCTGACCACATCACTGTGTTTATCTTTGAAATAAACACATCTTAGGAACCTCTGACCATTTTTTTACACATAGCCATTAGCCGCAAAGAGAGAGGGAGAGAGAGGGAGAGAGAGACGTGATGTGGTCCTAACCACGCCAGTTTGTCATGGTTCTGCTGTACTGAGGTTCAGAAAGTGTGGCTTGTACTCTGTATCTTTGAGGATTATACAGTATATCTGTTATGTCAGACGCAGGAGTCTTGCAGGCGATTACATGCAGGTGTTTTGAAAAAGTTTTGCTTGTATAAGAGCAGTTGGCTGTTTCTTAGGTAACAAGGATCTTAGAAGGATCATGGCACAACTATCTCCGTTAACGCCTGCTACCGAACCAAAGGGCTTCATTACTTTTTCAGTGATGAAGTGACGCACTCTGCCAAGCTTCAAAGTCATATTTAATAACGGCCACTTTGAAAATTAATTCACATTATTGGAAACAGTGAGGATCATTTTCTACTCTCATCGTCAGAGGGGAAGGATGATTCTCAAGAAGAGATAATCTTTATGGAGGTAGATTCAGAGACCCAGCCTAGCGGGAGATACCCTACTCTTCACATCGGGTGCCGCCAAAATTGCACCCTATCCCCTATATAGTGCACTACTTTTGATCAGAGCCCATAGGGCTCTCTCTGTCTCTCTCGCTCTCGCTCTCTCTCTCTCTGTCTCTCTCTCTTTCTGTCTCTCTCTCTCTCTGTCTCTCTCTCTTTCTGTCTCGCTCTCTCTCTCTCTGTCTCTCTCTCTCTCCGTCTCTCTCTCTCTCTCTCTGTCTCTCTCTCTCTCTCTCTCTCTCTCTCTCTCTCTGTCTCTCTCTCTCTGTCTCTCTCTCTCTCTCTCTCTCTGTCTCTCTCTCTCTCTCGGTCTCTCTCTGTCTCTCTGTCTCTCTCGGTCTCTTGCTCTCTCTCTCTCTCTCTCTCTCTCTCTCCTCTCTCTCTGTCTCTCTCTCTGTCTCTCTCGGTCTCTCTCTCGGTCTCTCTCGGTCTCTCTCTCTCTCTCTGTCTCTCTCTCTCCTATCCCAGGAGTGTTAATGTCCTCATCCAGGCAGGGAGAAGAGAAAGGCAAGCCCTGGTCTTATCTCCCCATACAGCCGGTCTCCATCCCTCCCTCCCCACTCCCACGTCACACCATGGAAAAGTACACACCCCCACCACCCCCTCCATCTAGCAGTATAACGATATAGCACAGTAGTAGTATGAGGATATAGCACTTAGTAGTAGTATGAGGAAATGGTGTTAAAATATGATTTATATACACTAATTAAGTATGAATGGAAGAAGAAATGCCAGGGTGGCAGTGGCTGCTTGCTCTCTGTCTGCCCAGCCATGAGAAGATAGAATCAAAGGGCACATTTTATTGTCGGACATTATTCATTATAATCAGACAGGTTTTTTACATGGGTGATACATTGGAGATAATATAAGGCAAGTACTGGAAACAATAGAACACTATGAAAAATCTGGGAAACCAGGCCTACTATTCATAGCAGACTTCGAAAAAAGGCATTTTCTCTTTCATTGATAAAATACGACTGGGGTTTATATATAAATGCCTGGAGCATTTCAATTTTGGACAATCTCTTATAAATTGGGTTAAAATCATATATAGTAACCCTAGGTGTAAAATAGTAAATAATGGCTACTTCTCAGAAAGTTTTAAACTGTCAAGAGGAGTGAAACAAGGTTGTCCACTATTGGCTTATCTATTTATTATTGCCATCGAGATGTTAGCTATTAAAATCAGATCCAACAATAATATCAAGGAATTAGAAATCCAGGGCTTAAAAAAAAGGTGCCATTGTACGCTGATGATTCATGTTTTCTTTTAAATCCACAACTTGAATCTCTCCACAGCCTCATAGAGGATCTAGATACATTTTCTAACCTCTCTGGATTACAACCAAATTATGATAAATGTACTATATTACATATTGATCACTAAAAAATAGAATTTTTACATTACCATGTAGTTTACCAATAAAATGGTCTGATGGTGATGTGGATATACTCGGAATACATATCCCAAATGAAATAAATGATCTCGCTCCAATAAATTTTAATAGAAAGTTAGCAAAAATAGATAAGATCTTGCTACCATGGAAAGGTAAATACCTGTCAATTTGTGGAAAAATCACCCTGATTAACTCTTTAGTATTATCCCAGTTTACCTATTTGCTTATGGTCTTGCCTTACGAACAGTTTTTTTTATTATATGAGAAAATAATATTCATTTTATTTGGAACGGCAAGCCAGACAAAATTAAACGAGCCTATTTATATAATGAATATGAATTCGGAGGACAGAAATAATTAAATATTAAAGCATTAGACCTATCACTAAAAGCGTCAGTCATACAAAAGTTATACTTAAATCCGAACTGGTTCTCTAGCAAATTAGTAAGATTGTCTCACCCAATGTTCAAGAATGGCCTTTTTCCCTTCATTCAGATTGCAACCTCTCACTTATTTGAAAAGGAAATAATCTCCCAAATATCACTATTTCTAAAACAAGCCATAGAAAGTTGGTTGCAATTTCAATTTAATCCTCCAGAAATGACAGAACAAATAATGCAACAAATATTGTGGTTAAACTCAAATATACTAATTGATAAAAAAAACTTTTTGGGGACAAAATGTTGAAAAAAGTATATTCTTTGTAAATGATATCATCGGTAGGACTGGTGGAGCTATGTGGCACATGCAGGTAACAAAAACATATGGAAATGTCTGCTCTACCCAAAATTACAACCAAATAATTGCAGCATTACCGCAAAAATGGAAAAGGAAAGTGGAAGGGGGAAAAGGTAAGGAACTTGTCTGTCGGCCTTGCATTAAAGAACATAATTGGTTAAAGAAAATTGTGATAAATAAAAAAGTATACCAGTTTCATTTAAGGACCAAAGGATTGACAGCCATCCCATATAGATTGCAAAATAGTTGGGAAGAGATTTTTGACGCACCGATTCCATGGCATAGTGTTTATGAATTGATACGCAAAACGACGCCGGATTCAAAACTTATTGCTACCAATAGAATGTTATTTATATGGGGGATACAATCTTCCCAGCTCTGCAGATTTAGCTGCGAAGAGACAGAATCATTAGATCATTTGTTTTGGTACTGTCTATTTGTAGCTTGTTTTTGGACACAGGTCCAGGAATGGCTAAAGGATTGCAATATTTACCTGGAGCTAACCCTGCAGATAGCACTACTGGGTGATCTGAAAAGTCATAGTCAATCGATTAATAATATAATAATACTTTTAGCAAAAATGTTTATTTTCAATTTACGATCTGTAGAAACAATGAGAATAGAAAGGTTCAGAACTTTTGTAAAACATCACAGTACAGTTGAAAAATATATGGCAAATAGAAATCCAATATGGATGGTGTTAAGAGATAGATGGGAGGTGTTGAATGGAGCTGAAGGATGGGACTAATAACAACAACTAATAACAACAAGATAACTAATGTAAAGCATACTGTGTCCATAATAAGTATATAGGTTATAGGTTGAGAGCTTTTGTGAAAGAGCACAATTAGAAAAATATGGCATATAGAAGCAAACCAGATGGACATCATAAAAATGATCGGAGGAAGTTCAGGAGTAAAAACAAACAAAATATAATGATTGTAGAATTTGACTGTGTCCATTAAATGTATATAGTATGTATGGGCTGGAAGTAGAGGCCTAAGCGTTGTTGTTCACTAGTTTACTCCAATTGGGGAAGGGGTTGGAAAGTAATGAAGGGAAATATAATTTTAAAAAGGATATGTGTGTGTGTATGAATGTGTATATATATATATATATATATATATATATATATATATATATATATATATATATATATATACAGTTGAAGTCGGAAGTTTACATACACTTAGGTTGGAGCCATTAAAACTCATTTTTCAACCACTCCACAAATGTCTTGTTAACAAACTATAGTTTTGGCAAGTCGGTTAGGACATCTACTTTGTGCATGACACAAGGAATTTTTCCAACAATTGTTTACAGACAGATTATTTCACTTATAATTCACTGTATCACAATTCCAGTGGGTCAGAAGTTTACATACACTAAGTTGACTGTGCCTTTAAACAGCTTGGACAATTCCAGAAAATTATGTCATGGCTTTAGAAGCTTCTGATAGGCTAATTGACATCATTTGAGTCAATTGGAGGTGTATCTGTGGATCTATTCCAAGGCCTACCTTCAAACACAGTGCCTTTTTGTTTGACATCATGGGAAAATCAAAAGAAATCAGCCAAGAAAAATTGGAGACCTCCACAAGCCTGGTTCATCCTTGGGAGCAATTTCTGAATGCCTGAAGGTGTTCATCTGTACAAACAATAGTACGCAAGTATAAACACCATGGGACCATGCAGCCGTCATACTGCTCAGGAAGGAGACTCGTTCTGTCTCCTAGAGATTAACGTACTTTGGTGCGAAAAGTGCAAATCAATCCCAGAACCACTGCAAAGGACCTTGTGAAGATGCTGGATGAAACAGGTACAAAAGTATCTATATCCACAGTAAAACGAGTCCTATATCCAAAACCACCATAAAAAAGCCAGACTACAGTTTGCAACTGCACATGGGAAAAATATTGTACTTTTTGGAGAAATGTCCTCTGGTCTGATGAAACAAAAATAGAACTGTTTGGCTATAATGACCATTGTTATGTTTGGAGGAAAAAGGGGGTCGCTTGCAAGCTGAAGAACACCATCCCAACCGTGAAGCACGGGGGTGGCAGCATCATGCTGTGGGGGTGCTTTGCTGCAGGAGAAACTGGTGCACTTCACAAAATAGATGGCATCATGAGGAAGGAAAATGATGTGGATATATTGAAGCAACATCTCAAGACATCAGTCAGGAAGTTAAAGCTTGGTCGCAAATGGGTCTTCCAAATGGACAATGACCCCAAGCATACTTCCAAAGTTGTGGAAAATGGCTTAAGGACAACAAAGTCAAGGTATTGGAGTGGCCATCACACAGCCCTGACCTCAATCCTATAGAAAATGTGTGGGCAGAACTGAAAAAGCGTGTGCGAGCAAGGAGGCCTACAAACCTGACTCAGTTACACCAGCTCTGTCAGGAGGAATGGGCCAAAATTCACCCAACTTATTGTGGGAAGCTTGTGGAAGGCTACCCGAAACGTTTGACCCAAGTTAAACTATTTAAAGGCAATGCTACCAAATACTAATTGAGTGTATGTAAACTTTTGACCCACTGGGAATGTGATGAAAGAAATAAAAGCTGAAATAAATCATTCTCTCTACTATTATTCTGACATTTCACATTCTTAAAATAAAGTGGTGATCCTAAATGACCTAAGACAGGGAATTATTACTAAGATTAACTGTCAGGAATTTTGAAAAACGGAGTTTAAATGTATTTGGCTAAGGTGTATGTAAAGTTCCGACTTCAACTGTATATATTTGCGACAAAAAAAACATATGGGGGATTGGAAGTTATGCAGACAATTACATTGATGGAAGTTACAATCGATCTGAAATATTAAAGCTGATTTATCCCCTAAATTTAAAAAAAAAAGAATACAAATAAAATATGCCAATGACCATCTGGATGATCCAGAGGAGGAATGGGAGAAGGTCATGTGGTCTGATGAGACAAAAATAGAGCTTTTTGGTCTAAACTCCACTCTAAACTCCACTCGCCGTGTTTGGAGGAAGAAGAAGGATGAGTACAACCCCAAGAACACCATCCCAACCGTGAAGCATGGATGTGGAAACATCATTCTTTGGGGATGCTTTTCTGCAAAGGGGACCTGACGACTGCACCGTATAGAGGGGAGGATGGATGGGGCCATGTATCGTGAGATCTTGGCCAACAACCTCCTTCCCTCAGTAAGAGCATTGAAGATGGATCGTGGCTGGGTCTTCCAGCATGACAACGACCCGAAACACACAGCCAGGGCAACTAAGGAGTGGCTCCGTAAGAAGCATCTCAAGGTTCTGGAGTGGCCTAGCCAGTCTCCAGACCTGAACCCAATAGAAAATCTTTGGAGGGAGCTGAAAGTCTGTATTGCCAAGCGACAGCCCCGAAACCTGAAAGATCTGGAGAAGGTCTGTATGGAGGAGTGGGCCAAAATCCCTGCTGCAGTGTGTGCAAACCTGGTCAAGACCTACAGGAAACGTATATGATCTCTGTAATTACAAACAAAGGTTTCTGTACCAAATATTAAGTTCTGCTTTTCTGATGTATCAAATGCTTATGTCATGCAATAAAATGCAAATTAATTATTTAAATTTAGATTCCGTCTCTCACAGTTGAAGTGTACCTATGATAAAAATTACAGACCTCTACATGCTTTGTAAGTAGGAAAACCTGCAAAATCGGCAGTGTATCAAATACTTGTTCTCCCCACTGTAAGTGAGAGGGTATCTTTGTTCTAGTTAGTTCGGAATAGCAAGAGGCAAAGCCCTGTCCTGTTGTTATATCGAACCCGGTACCGACTATTAAACATTTGCATGAACTATTCACAAAGTGTCTAAGTATATTCTTATATCCTTAATTACTTGATACCCGAGAAAATCATCATAACATTAACGTTCTCAAAACAATGTGAGAATATGAATTAAATAGAACCATGAGGAAACCTGTCGGAAAGGTTATGCTGAAGTACTGAAATTCCCACAGAAAAACGTTGTTTCTTAACGTTCTCTGAATTATTTGAGAACATTCCCAATGTCAAACCAGTTGGAGAACGTTCATAGAACATTACCAAAATCGTTCTGTTAAAGTAATGAAATACCAAGAAAATAACATTTTTTTTGTCAAGTTCCTTAAATGTGCTGAGAATGTTCCAAAACCAAGCAACTATCCTGCACCGTTCCCAGAAAGTTGTGGAAAGGTTGTATGCAAAATAACCATAGGCCAACCACGCTCTCACCAAGCTCTAAGAAACATACGGTCCTCAAAACATTGTGTGCTAGCTGGGTGAACTCCTTTAAAGCAGTTTGTTACATGGCTGACTTAGAGAGCACTGACAGATGGCTCCCAATCTCAGCTTGCTGTTCACTCCAAGCATGTCCACTCATAACTACATTTAACTATTTTTGTAATTAGCCTGTATTCTGCCATTTGTGTGAAGAAATGGCAACACCCAGTGTCACACAAATGACATTGATATAGTACAATATGTGTAGGATTACTCATAGTGTGCAATGTAATAATCAGTAACTATACATAGTCCTTTTCAAAATAATAATTAAGTATCACCATAACCACCAACAGCTATCACCTCTGCCCAAAAATATCCCCCCGCCTCCTGTATTGTTAGTCAACAACACACACACACACACAAAAAAAATACCCAAAGATAAAAGAGCATTGGTCGGTTAGTTCGAGCATTGTTCCCTCCACAAACCTAATCCCAGACCCTTTTGATCAAAGATGGATGACAGTGGTCCACTGGCTTAGCTGAGTGACTGAGAATCTCCTGCTGTTTGATCTTCAATGGGTTGGGGGGGGGGGGGGCAGTGACAGGTAAACACACACACACACATACGCGCACACAGACACACACACACACACACACACACACACACACACACACTGTACATACACACACTTCTCTTTCTCTCTGTGCAGGCTGCCACAGCACATCAGTGTCTATCTGACCCTCTCTGGGTTGCACAACTCAACTCAACTCCGGGCCATCTCTGTAGACTGTGTAGAATGCAACCATCCATCCCTGAGAAAGTAACCAGTCAACTCAACTCTGGTCCAGCTCTGTAAACTGTGTAGAATGCAACCATCCATCCCTGAGAAAGTAACCAGTCAACTCAACTACGGGCCATCTCTGTAGACTGTGTAGAATGCAACCATCCATCCCTGAGAAAGTCGTATTCACACACACAGTGCAGCCGTAGAAGATGTCTTTGTGTTTGGAGTGTTTTGTTATGTTTTGCGGTTCTGGGTAGCCAGTGAATCAGTTCAGAATTAGTGTAAACACATCTAGTCACTTGCAGGTACAGGATACAAAAAGTGAAGTCATGAATGAAAGACGGATACCAGCCAGTGACTTTGCAAAATAATGTAAAAGAAAACAGAATTATTCAATAGAGCTTTGATGGTGCCCACAGCTATTGGCAGATGGTGAGAATAATAGCAGTCAGCTATGGGCAGATGGTGAGAAGAACAGCAGTCAGCTATGGGCAGATGGTGAGAAGAACAGCAGTCAGCTATGGGCAGATGGTGAGAAGAATAGCAGTCAGCTATGGGCAGATGGTGAGAAGAACAGCAGTCAGCTATGGACAGATGGTGAGAAGAATAGCAGTCAGCTATGGGCAGATGGTGAGAAGAACTGCAGTCAGCTATGGGCAGATGGTGAGAAGAATAGCAGTCAGCTATGGGCAGATGGTGAGAAGAATAGCAGTCAGCTATGGGCAGATGGTGAGAAGAATAGCAGTCAGCTATGGGCAGATGGTGAGAAGAATAGCAGTCAGCTATGGGCAGATGGTGTGAAGAATAGAAGTCAGCTATGGGCAGATGGTGAGAAGAATAGCAGTCAGCTATGGGCAGATGGTGAGTAGAATAGCAGTCAGCTATGGGCAGATGGTGAGAAGAATCGCAGTCAGCTATGGGCAGATGTGAGGAGAATAGCAGTCAGCTATGGGCAGATGGTGAGAAGAATAGCAGTCAGCTATGGGCAGATGGTGAGAAGAATAGCAGTCAGCTATGGGCAGGTGGTGAGAAGAATAGCAGTCAGCTATGGGCAGATGGTGTGAAGAATAGCAGTCAGCTATGGGCAGATGGTCAGAATAATAGCAGTCAGCTATGGGCAGATGGTGTGAAGAATAGCAGTCAGCTATGGGCAGATGGTGAGAAGAATAGCAGACAGCTATGGGCAGATGGTCAGAAGAATAGCAGTCAGCTATGGGCAGATGGTGTGAAGAATAGCAGTCAGCTATGGTGAGATGGTGAGAAGAATAGCAGTCAGCTATGGGCAGATGGTGAGAAGAATAGCAGTCAGCTATGGGCAGATGGTCAGAAGAATAGCAGTCAGCTATGGGCAGATGGTGAGAAGAATAGCAGTCAGCTATGGGCAGATGGTGAGAAGAATAGCAGTCAGCTATGGGCAGATGGTATGAAGAATAGCAGTCAGCTATGGGCAGATGGTGAGAAGAATAGCAGTCAGCTATGGGCAGATGGTGAGAAGAATAGCAGTCAGCTATGGGCAGATGGTATGAAGAATAGCAGTCAGCTATGGTGAGATGGTGAGAAGAATAGCAGTCAGCTATGGGCAGATGGTGAGAAGAATAGCAGTCAGCTATGGGCAGATGGTCAGAAGAATAGCATTCAGCTATGGGCAGGTGGTGAGAAGAATAGCAGTCAGCTATGGGCAGATGGTGTGAAGAATAGCATTCAGCTATGGACAGATGGTGTGAAGAATAGCAGTCAGCTATGGGCAGATGGTGAGAAGAATAGCATTCAGCTATGGGCAGGTGAATCATATCAGAATGATAAAAAGTGCATCGCTCTCTTTCTTTCTCCTTTCCTCTGTCTCTTTCATTTGTTCTCCCCCCCCTCTTCTCTTCTCCCACTCCTTCTCCCTCTCCCCCCCTCCCTCTCTCCCCCTCTTCTCTTCTCCCACTCCTCATCCCTCTCCCCCCTCCCTCTCTCCCCCTCTTCTCTTCTCCCACTCCTCCTCCCTCTGCCCCCCCTCCCAGCCCACTCGTGTAAGCAGCCAGAGAGCCCGGCCCATGTGGAGGTGATTGGGATGGATCTACCAGGGTTTGGTTACACCCTCCTCTACACCTGCCAGGCTGGGTTCTTCCTGTCCGGGGGCTCGGAACACCGCGTCTGCAAGTCCGACGGTACCTGGACCGGGAAGATGCCCATTTGTCGAGGTACAGGACAGGAACATGACATTTCCAGTGTGTTTGTGTGTCTGTTTGGCTCCAGGGTGAAGATCCCCCTAACTTTCCCCCAATCCTAACCGTAGCCTTCGTGTGTGTGTGTGTGTGTGGGTGTGTGTGTGTGTGTGTGTGTGTGTGTGTGTGTGTGTGTGTGTGTGTGTGTGTATAATGGTATATGCTGATTCGGTACAGTGGCTCTCTTGTGCCGCAGGCCATGATTGAAGCTGTACGAGCACACCGCACGTGCCACACACCACGGCCTATGTGCATCGCACAGCTTGCACGCAGCCACAGATAACACCAACAGAAACCATGTGGGAATGCAGAACCACCCTGGCTGCTGCTACCCCAATTGGTATTCTAGTGTCTATCATGCCATTGCAGTGGAACAGACTGGACAAAGAATCCTGGCCCACACTGTATACTCATGATGTAGAGGGCCACAGCCACAGAACACACTTGCGTAACCACAGCACAGAAACAACCTGCGTACCAAGCCATCAGAACCACCCTACTGCGTAACCACGCTCCCCCCTCTCCAGCCCAACACACCCTCTGCGTACCACAGCCACAGAACACACCCTACTGCGTAACCACAGCCACAGAACACACCTACTGCGTAACCACAGCCACAGAACACCCTCCTGCGTACCCAGCCACAGAACACCCCTCTCTGCGTACCCACCACAGAACACACCCTACTGCAACCACAGCCACGAACACACCCTACTGGTAACCACAGCCACGAACACACCCTACTTGGTACAGAGCACAGAACAACCATATTGCGTAACCGCAGCCCGAACACACCTCCTACGCGTACCGCAGGCCACAGGAACACACCGCGTACCGCAAGAACACACGCTACTGGACCACAGCGCACAGAACCCATTTGCGAAACGACAGCCACAGAACACATCCATTACTTGCGTAACCCGTCTGGAACACCAGGTAAACACAGCCACAGAACACACCCCATGCGTAACCACGCCAGACCATCCTACTGCGTACACAGCCCATGGACACACCCTACTTGCGTAACCACATGCCAGGATCACACCCTACTGTGTCGTAACCACAGCAACGAATCACACCCTATGGTACCACAGCCAGAACACCTACTGCGTAACCCAGCCACAGAACACACCCTACTGCGTAACCACAGCCACAGAACACACCCTACTGCGTAACCACAGCCACAGAACACACCCTACTGCGTAACCACAGCCACAGAACACACCCTACTGCGTAACCACAGCCACAGAACACACCCTACTGCGTAACCACAGCCACAGAACACACCCTACTGCGTAACCACAGCCACAGAACACACCCTACTGCGTAACCACAGCCACAGAACACACCCTACTGCGTAACCACAGCCACAGAAACACACCCTACTGCGTAACCACAGCCACAGAACACACCCTACTGCGTAACCACAGCCACAGAACACACCCTACTGCGTAACCACAGCCACAGAACACACCCTACTGCGTAACCGCAGCCACAGAACACACCCTACTGCGTAACCGCAGCCACAGAACACACCCTACTGCATAACCACAGCCACAGAACACACCCTACTGCGTAACCGCAGCCACAGAACACACCCTACTGCGTAACCACAGCCACAGAACACACACCCTACTGCGTAACCACAGCCACAGAACACACCCTACTGCGTAATCACAGCCACAGTACACACCCTACTGCGTAACCACAGCCACAGAACACACCCTACTGCGTAACCGCAGCCACAGAACACACCATACTGCGTAACCACATGCATGCTTATTTCTGCTTTTTTTACTTAATCTTGTTTTTTAAACCAAATTCCTCTTATACTTTTATTACCAAAAACGTCATGAGAGGAGAGCTTGCAAGTAAGCATGACATTTTACTACGTAGACTTCACTGTATCCTGTGCATATGCGTGTGACAAATCAACTTTGATTTGATTAGATTTTCTGTAATTAGCACAAGATGCCGTGCTTTACTTTTACATTCCAGAACACAACCGTATGCATTTTGTAGGCATATTACCCAGATCGAGACATTTAGAAATTCCACATACAGAACTCTAAATGGAACTGAGAATATTCGACCCCAAGGAGTTAAGTTGCATTATCTCTTGACGTGTGGTGCTGAAGTACATCAATACATGATTAGAAGTCCCACATGGGGAAGTTGACATGACATAATGGGACTAATGCTGTTTTTGTCTCCCATAGCTGGGTCCAAACTCTCAGAGAAGCCCATCAAGCCAGTGGCAGGGACACCCAGTCCCAAGCTGAACGGTGAGTGCCTGACTGAAGTGTCATCACGACACACAGACCCACATCATAACAGTAGCACACACACACACACACCATTACAGCAACATCAAAAAGAGCAGTGTTCTGATTACATAATAAAATACTACTGTAAAGTGCAGCTGGCAATCACAACAGAATGAATATAAACAGCTTCATCTGGCCTCGCAGGGGGCCGGCGCTTCGCTAATAGCGCCTCAGAAGGACTGGTGTCCTTAATGCATTCTTGAGTGCCCCTCTTTAGGGACGAGAAGCTAATGAAGAGTGGAAAGAGTGAGTTTGACGGTAAAACGTCCCGGCAGCACAGCCTGACAGTCTGACTCCCTCTCCCTTTCCCTCTCTCGCTCTCCCTCCTTCCTTCCTCTCTCTCTCTCTCTCTCTCTCTCTTCTACGGAGTAATCTGTGGTGCAGTGAGATAGCAGCCCAACCATCCCCAAGTTTCCACTTGTAGAGGGACTAAGTTTTTCAAAAGCTTGGAGGTCATTTACAAAGTTGAATATACTCTGAGGGTGAAAGCTCCGGGGCCAAGTGTCTGTGAACACTAGTAATACTGTCTATTTGATCAATCATGATGAATCTTATAGACTTACAAACAGTGGTTTATTTGCTGGTGGAATGTAAGGTGGCAGTATTTTTCAAATGCAGTATGACTTAACCAAGATCCTATTTGTCTCTTTTCCTCTTATTACTTAAAATATTTGTTCTGTTTTATTAACGGGATAGATAGAAATGAACAGGGAAGACAGTGTGAAGACCGGCGGGGCCGGGATTCAATCCCACGCAGGCAGGGGATGGCATGTGGGCTTAACAGCTTCCTCAACCTCAGGCACAACCAAGGCCCACTAATAATCCATATTGTCTATGCTCTGTTTCAGTTCCTGATGACGTCTTTGCTCCTAACTATATCTGGAAGGGTTCATACAACTACAAGGGAAGAAAACAACCAATGACTCTGAGTATCACGAGCTTTAACGCCACCACGGGAAGGGTTAACGTCTCCTTGACCAATAGCAACATGGAACTTCTGCTTTCAGGTACGCCGTCTGCATTTTACGCCATATTACACAGAGAGGAGACGCTAGGGAAGGTTCCTAGCCACTCCTTGAACACACACACAGATTCACACACACAGATTCACACACACACAGATGATTCACACACACACACACACATATTCATACACACACACAGATTCACACACATAGAGCATGTCATCATGTAGTCACTGGAGTAGAATGCAGCCTGTGTTTCAGATGCAGTGTTTCTCTCCCACAATATGCATATGACTATAAATGAGTGTTACTAAACATAGCTGACATTGTTTGATTGGTAGGGCCTTAATGTCAGACGGTATCCATTTACGACTGTATCTACTTAGTGGGAAATTCAATTATGTTGTTTACAGTGCCTTGCAAAAGTATTCATCCCCATTGGCGTTTTTCTTATTTTGTTGCATTACAACCTGTAATTTAAATTGATTTTTATTTGGATTTCATGTAATGAACATACACAAAATAGTCCAAATTGGTGAAGTGAAATGAAAAAAATAACTTGTTTCAAAAAATTCTAAACAATAAATAACGGAAAAGTGGTGCGTGCATATGTATTCACCCCCTTTGCTATGAAGCCCCTAAATAAGATCTGGTGCAACCAATTACCTTCAGAGGTCACATAATTAGTTAAATAAAGTCCACTTGTGTGCAACCTAAGTGTCACATGATCTGTCACATGATCTCAGTATATATACACCTTGTTCTGAAAGGCCCCAGAGTCTGCAACACCACTAAGCAAGGGGCACCACCAAGCAAGCGGCACCATGACGACCAAGGAGCTCTCCAAACAGGCCAGGGAGTTGTGGAGAGGTACAGATCAGGGTTGGGCTATAAAAAAAATATCAGAAACTTTGAACATCCCACAGAGCACCATTAAATCCATTATAAAAAAATGGAAAGAATATGGCACCACAACAAACCTGCCAAGAGAGGGCCGCCCACCAAAACTCATGGACCAGGCAAGGAGGGCATTAATCAGAGAAGCAACAAAGAGACCTAAGATAACCCTGAAGGAGCTGCAAAGCTCCACAGCGGAGATTTAAGCCGTACACTCCACAGAGCTGGGCTTTACGGAAGAGTGGCCAGAAAAAAGCCATTGCTTAAAGAAACAAATAAGCAAACACGTTTGGTGTTCGCCAAAAGGCATGTGGGAGACTCCCCAAACTAATGGAAGAAGGTACTCTGGTCAGATGAGACTAAAATTGAGCTTTTTGGCTATCAAGGAAAATGCTATGTCTGAGGCAAACCCAACACCTTTCATCACCCGAGAACACCATCCATGTTTTTCATTGGCAGGGACTGGGAAACTGGTCAGAATTGAAGGAATGACGGATGGTGCTAAATACAGGGAAATTCTTGAGTGAAACCTGTTTCAGTCTTCCAGAGATTTGAGATTGGGACGGAGGTTCACCTTCCAGCTGGACAATGACCCTAAGCATACTGCTAAAGCAACACTTGAGTGGTTTAAGGGGAAACATTTAAATGTCTTGGAATGGCCTAGTCAAAGCCCAGACCTCAATCCAATTGAGAATCTGTGGTATGACTTAAAGATTGCTGTACACCAGCGGAACCCATCCAACTTGAAGGAGCTGGAGCAGTTTTGCCTTGAAGAATAGGCAAAGATCCCAGTGGCTAGATGTGCCAAGCTTAGACATACCTCAAGAGACTTGCAGCTGTAATTGCTGCAAAAGGTGGCTCTGCAAAGTATTGACTTTGGGGGGGGTGAATAGTTATGCACGCTCAAGTTTTCAGTTTTTTTGTCTTATTTCTTGTTTGTTTCACAACAAAAAATATTTTGCATCTTCAAAGTGATAGGCATGTTGTGTAAATCAAATGATACAAACCCCCCAAAAAATCAATTTTAATTCCAGATTGTAAGGCAACAAAATAGGAAAAATGCCAAGGGGGGTGAATACTTTCGCAAGCCACGGTATTTGCCTGTGTGGAGGACATTTGCTAACATTGAAATGGGCATTCATGGTCTGTCTGATCTGAGAATATGTTTTGAGTTGATGTGTTTGGATTTTGTAGTGTGCTGTAATTTATTTGAAAGCTATGATCTATGACTCATTTATTTCCTATTCATTTTTGGGGGCTGTTTTCGCATAGCCCCTGAATATAATATTTATTCTGTCCCTTAATGTACCTTCATTAATGTAGCCTAATGGACGTGTAAAACCTATCCCCCCCATTTCTCTTAAATGAAATATTAATCCGATCTGACAAATCTTTCACGGATTTACCATAATTATCTGGAGAGACGACACCCCTTCCCCTCCTCCCCCCTCACTCCTTCCCCCTCACTCCTTCCCTCTCACTCCTTCCCCTCACTCCTTCCCCCTCACTTTTCCCTCACTTCTTCCCTCTCACTCCTCCTCTGCCACCCTCACTCCTCCCCTCTCACTTCTTCCCCAATCCCCCCTCACTCCTTCGAACCCTCACTCCTTATCCTCGTCCCCCCTCACTACGACCCTCTCACTCCTTCCCCAATACCCCCCTCACTCCTTCGAACCCTCACTCCTTTGAACCCTCACTCCTGCTCCCCTCACTCCTTTTCCCCTCACTCCTTCCCTCCTCACTCCTACCCCCTCGTTTCTCTACAGCTGCCTTTAACCTAGCTGACGTGACTTACATAATCGAGTTACATTTACAGTCATTTAGCAGACACTCTTATCCAGAGCCACTTACAGTAGTGAGTGCGTACATTTTCATATTTGGACATTGAAGTGCCCAGCAGCCGTCGCAAATTATGACATAGAAAGGTGAATGCGGCGCTATTCACTCGCTCATTGAGAAGAAATGGCTGTGTCTGGGAGATATAGGAATCACAAAGTAATCATAACGCTGAGGCGAGGGAGGCGGCCATTTTGTGTTTTTAATAACAGGGGGACCATTAGCTTGTTAATTGAACGTGTGTTATTACTACCACTGACCATCAGTCAGGCCCGGGGCCTCTGATAGGCCTTAATATGGTGCTTCCTTTCTATGCCTTCGGTTGTAGGAGGCTGTTAGAAATAGACAGTGCGGTTGATGAGTGGGTGTTCTGCTACAGTAAATTGCTCCATGATTTGAAGAAAATGTCTCTCAGTGTTTTATATCACCTGTTTTCCCACACACACACACATACAGACGAAGTGTGGGGGTAGGAGAGGGAGAACATCATCATGGGGTCATTGTCTGTGATTGTGTCCCCTGAGTACCACCAGTTACAGTGTGTCAGTGTTGTGACCTGGCCTCACGTCACCCCTCTTGTCCTCCTGTGTTGTGTTGTGTTGTGCTGCCAGGCATCTATAAGAGCCAGGAAGCACGGTTGATGCTGCTCATGTACCATGTGAAAACATTCACTCACACCACGCTGGGAAAGGTCAAGGAGGAGACGCTGGGAAAGGTCAAGGAGGAGACGTGGTCCATGGACGGTTTTGTAAGTTTGACCGTTTTCGTACTTACAGGAGGGGTTTGTAGAATTGAAACATTTACATGTTGGTCATTTAGCAGCGCTTTTATCCAGAACGACTTACAGAGATCTTGCTAACCATCGGATGTGGTGTATTAATGTTGAAATGGTCATTTGTTAGACATATCATACGTATATACATCGTTATTTCATGTTTATTACAAAATAGACTCAAATGTTCTCCTTGTTTTGTGTTTAGTAAAAATGCAATTCTGAAAATATGTATTTGTCCTTTAAAATTCTACCTCATCGTGAAAAGTACCATTCAAAAGGACGTGACTGACTAACTGACTGATTGACTGATTGAGAGTCAGACAGACTGACTGATTGATTGATTGACTCACTGACTGACTGATCATATCTGTCTCCCTGTATTCCCCTAGGTGTCTGCAGAACCTGACGGTGCCACCTATGTCTTTCAAGGCTTCATACAGGGTAAAGACTACGGTCAGTTTGGACTGCAGAGGCTAGGTAAACATCACCACATATCCATTGTGTTTTTATATCAGCTTTCTCACTGTCAACAATATTGTGTCATTTCAGTATATAGAAATAAAAGATGTATGTCAGACATATTTGATATAGACCAAAAATGTGATTGTGAGAATATTCATGTTGTCTCCTCTGTCTCCTCTCCCACACAGGTCTGAACATGTCAGAGAGTAACAACTTGTCCAATCCGCCTCACGGTACAAACAGTAGCTCTGTGGCCATAGCAATCCTTGTGCCTTTTTTCGCCCTGATATTTGCAGGCTTTGGGTTTTATCTTTACAAACAGCGGTAAGTGTACCTACCTACCACCAGTATTATTACCTACCTACCACCAGCTATTATTACCTACCTACCTACAGTATTATTACCTACCTACCACCAGCTATTATTACCTACCTACCACCAGCTATTATTACCTACCTACCTACAGTATTATTACCTACCTACCTACAGTATTATTACCTACCTACCACCAGCTATTATTACCTACCTACCACCAGCTATTATTACCTACCACCAGCTATTATTACCTACCTACCTACAGTATTATTACCTACCTACCTACAGTATTATTACCTACCTACCTCCAGCTATTATTACCTACCTACCACCAGCTATTATTACCTACCTACCTACAGTATTATTACCTACCTACCACCAGCTATTATTACCTACCTACCACCAGCTATTATTACCTACCTACCTACAGTATTATTACCTACCTACCTACAGTATTATTGCCTATCACCAGCTATTATTACCTACCTACCACCAGTATTATTACCTACCTACCTACAGTATTATTACCTACCTACCACCAGCTATTATTACCTACCTACCTACAGTATTATTACCTACCTACCACCAGCTATTATTACCTACCTACCTATAGTATTATTACCTACCTACAGTATTATTACCTACCTACCTCCAGCTGTTATTACCTACCTACCACCAGCTATTATTACCTACTACCTACAGTATTATTACCTACCTACCACCAGCTATTATTACCACCACCACATATTACCTACCTACACCAGTATTATTACCTACCTACCTACAGTATTATTACCTACCTACCTACACTATTATTAACCTACCACCACTTTATTACCTACTACCACAGTATTATACCTCCTACTAGTTTAACCTACCTACCTGCTATTATTACCTACCTACCACCATATTATACCTACCCTACAGTATTATTCCTACCTACCACAGTATTATTACCCTACCACCAGCTATTATTTACCTCACCACCACCATATTAACCTACTACCACAGTATTATTACCCCTACCTCCAGCTATTATTCCTACCACCATTATTACCTACCTACAGTATTATTACCTCCTACCACATTTATTACCTACCACCTCCAGCTATTATTACCTACCTACCACAGCTATTATTACTCCTACCCTACAGATTATTACCTACCTACCACAGCTATTATTATACCTACCTACCTCAGCTATTATTACCTACCTACCCCACTATTATCCTACCTACCGTATTATTATTACCTACCCCAGCATTATTACCTACCACCACTATTATTACCTACCTACCAGCTATATTTACCACCTACCACTATTATTACCTACCTTTCCTACAGTATTATTTCCTACCTACCACCAGCTAAGTATCTACCACCACCACTATTATTACCTACCTACCACCCGCTTTATTACCTACCACCTACCATATTATATTACCTACCTACCTACATTATTATTACTACCTACCTCAGCTATTATTACCTACCTACCACTTATTACGCTACTACTACCTACACCAATTTTACCTACCTACCTCAGTATTATTACCTACCTACCACAGCTATTATTACCTACCTACCTACAGTATTATTACCTACCTACCACAGTATATTAACCTACCTACCACCAGCTATTATTACCTACCTACCTACAGTATTTACCTACCTACCACCAGCTATTATTACCACCTACCACCACTATTATTACCTCCTACCACACTATTATTACCTACCTACCTACAGTATTATTACCTACCTACCACCACTATTATTACCTACCTACCACAACATATTATTACCTACCTACCTACAGTTATTATTACCTACCCACCACCTATTATTACCTACCTACCACAGTATTATTACTACCTACCTCCATTATTATTACCTACCTACCACCAGCTATTATTACCTACCTACCCTACATTATTATTACCTACCACCAGCTAGTATTACCTACCACCTATTACTACCACCTACTATTTCTACCCCACCACTTATTATTACCTACCTACCTACTATTATTACCTCCTACCCCCAGCTATTATTACTACCTACCACCAACATATTTTTACCTACCTACCTACGTATATTATACCTACCTACCTACAGTATTATACCTACCTACCACCAGCTATTATTACCACCTACCACATTTTACTACCTACCAAGTATTTACCTACCTACCACCAGCTATTATTACCTACACCTACCACCAATGTACTATACCCCAGCTATTATACCCTACCTACAGTATTATTCCTACCTACCTAAGTATTATTACCTACCTACCTCATTATTACCTACCTACCACCAGCTTATTAACCACCTACACCACATATTATTACCTACCTACCTACAGTTTATTACCTACCCTACAGTATTATTACCTACCTACCACGTATTATTACCTACCTTACACTTATTATTACCTACACACAGTATATACCTACCTACCACATTACTATCACTACTATTCTCACCTACCACATATGTACCTACCCTACCTAATACATACCTACCTACAGTATTTTACCTACCTACCTACAGTATTATTACCTACCACCTACAGTATTATTACCTACCTACCACAGTATTATTACCTACCTACCACATTATTACTACCTACCTACCTATATATTCCTACCTTACATATTATTACCTACCTACCTACGTATTATTACCTACCTACCCCACAGCTATTACCTACCTAACCACAGTATTATTACCTACTACCTACAGTATTATACCTACCACCAAGTATATTACCTACCTACCACTATTATTACCTCCTACCTACAGTATTATTACCTACCTACCACCAGCTATTATACCTACCACCACAGTATATTATACCTACCCACATTATTATTACCTACCTACCTATTACTACCTACTACCACAATTATTACCTACCTACCACCAGTATTATTACCTACCTACCTACCAGTATTTACTTTCCTACCTACAGTATTATTACCTACCTACCTACAGTATTATTACCTACCTTTAACCACCACCACAGTATTATTACCTACCTACCTACGTATTTTACCTACCACCACTATTATCCTATTACCTACAGTATTATACCTCTACAGTATTATTCCTCCACCACCAGTTTATTACCTACCCACAGTATTATTACCTACCTACCTACATATATTACCTACCTACCCCAGTATTTCCTACCTACACCACCATATTATTACCCCTACCACCATATATACCTACCTAACCAGTATTATTACCATACCTACCTAAGTATTATTCCTACCTACCACCTATTATTACCTACTACCACAGTATTATTACCCCTACCTACAGTATTATTACCTACCTACCTACGCTTTATCCTCTATACCTACATACCTACCACCAGTATTATCCCTACCACCACAGTATATTACCACCTACTACCCCTATTATTACCTACCTACCTACAGTATTATTACCTACCTACCACAGCTATTATACCTACCACCAGCTATTATTACCTACCTACCTACAGTATTATTACCTACCTACCACAGTATTACTACCCCACACTATTACCTACCACCACTATATTACCACACCTACCAGTATTATTACCTACCTACCACATATTACATACCTTTTTACCTACCTACCTACAGATTATTACCTACCTACCCTACCAGCTATTATTACCTACCTACCTACAAATATTATTACCTACCTACCACCAGTATTATACCTACCTACCACAGTATTATTACCTACCTACCACAGTATTATTACCTACCACACAGTATTATTCCTACTACCACATATATTACCTACCTACACCAGCTATTATTACCACCCTACCCCTACCTACAGTTTTACCACCTACCTACAGTTTATTACCTACCTACCTACCACTATTATTACCTACCTCCCAGTATTATTACCTACCTACCACATTATTACCTACCTACCACCAGCATATTATTACCTACCCCAGCTATTATTACCTACCACCACCAGCTATTATCCTCCACCACCAGCTATTTTTACCACACTACTATACCTCCTACCACCTATATTACCTACCTCACACTATTACTACCTACCACAGCTATTAACCTACCACCTATATTATTACCACCTACATAATATTACCTACCACCAGCTATTATTACCTCCTACCACCAGTATTATTACCTACCTACCTACACGTATTATTACCTACCTACCTAGCTATTATTACCTACCACCACAGTATTATTCCTCACACACTATATATATTACCTACCTACCTACCAGTTATACCTACCTACCACTATTATTACTACCCTACCACACTATTATTACCTACCTACCTACAGTATTATACCTACCACCCAGCTATTATTACCTACCACCTATTATACCTACCTACCTACGTATTATACCTACCACAAGCTATTATTACCTACCTACCACCAGTATTATTACCTCCTACCTACCAGTATTATTACCTACCTACTACAGCTATTATTACACACACCTATTATACCTACCACCCAGTATTATTACCTACCTACCACCAGTTTATTTACTCTACCTACCACCACTATTATTACCTACCTATACAACCTCCAAGTATTACCTACCACCACCAGCTATTATTACCTACCTACCACAATATTATTACCTACCTACCACCAGTATTTTATACCTACCTACAGTATATTACCTACCTACCACCCATACCTTAATACCTACCACCATAGTTAATGCCTACCTACACCGCAGATACTACCCAGCTTATTATCTACCTTACCACACTATTAACCTACCACCACCAGTATTATTACCTACCACAGACTATTATTACCACTACCCAGATATACCTACCACCAGTATATTACTACCACCATATTATTCCTACCACCAGTATTACCTACCTACACAGTTATTATAACCTACCACCACACTATTGTACCTACCACAATATACACAACCACATTATTACCCATACACTTGCCAGGTATTAAGGTACAAGTTATTCCAACCACCACC